CAACATCCGCAGGCGACGAGGCAACCCTCCAAGGGTGGCGGTAGCGCGCCAGTTTTTCGATAGCCGCCTCCATCGTCGCCACCAGGATCAGCCTCGAAGGAAAACTATCCCAAACAGCCGTGGCCCATTGAAACACCACGTGCCCCGTGTAGGCCACCAAGGGATCACACAGCAAACCCATCCTGAACGAATGGGGCCTGAGTCCTAAACTACAGCCCTTGGGGAGGCGACCGATACTTCGAGCAGCCGAAACTCGGAGACCGTGCATCGCAGACGGGGGGATACCCATCACACTGCTCCCCCACAGGGCCACGGCGGTGGCCCCGACTCTTTGGATGAGGCCAACCTCAGCCCCTGCATCGCGTAAAATCTGAAGCCTACAAGCTCGAGGTCTAGCATTCGCAAACCTACTTCTGGCTATCCCAACTCTTCGACAGGAACCTGACGCAGCATCCGTTCCCAGATTTCGAGCCGTGTCCACACGCGACGAGGGCGGGATACGCCATTGCCCCTGGAGAAGCTTCTGCACATCGGCACTACAGATATACTTGGTCTTTTTCACCGCGGCAGGAAGGTTAAGACGATCGAAGTCCCTGAGCAGCGACTCGACCCCCGAGCTGAGAACCGACGCGACCTGACTAGTCCTTCCGCACGCCTGCAGTGCTATGTCATCCACCACGCTTCTGATGTATAGCTGCGGTCTCCCCTCTCTGGCCTTCGACAGGGGCCCTAGCAGGAGCAACTTAGCCGAGCTCGCCGCCCCACTGCAGCCTGCTATAACTGAGCCGTTCGCGCGCACGATGCTGGGCACCGCGCCGCCGTAGAGCAGCGTGCGAGGGTATGTGTACACCGTGCGCAGGCAGCGTAGCAGCCGAATGGGAAACTCGAATCTGAGAGCAGCTTGGTACAGCTCCTCGTGGCCAATGTGTTCGTAGAACTTTGACAGATCTAATAAAACGGTTCCAGACTCGAACCCAACACTCTTACAGCAACTGCCCAGAAGGTTATGTATCCACCCCGCCCGTTCACATGTGGCGGTGCTGCTAACGCCCCAGAACACATCTTCCATATGCGCCTGCTCCCACTTTTTGAACAGCGGTTGACGGACCCTGGACCATATCTTCGCGAAGAACGCCAAAAGTCCAATGGGGCGAACCCCCCCTTCACTCTTCTCGATGAACACTATATTCGTCATGAACAACAGGAGGTCTTGCGGGGCCCTTTCGAACTGATGCAGCACGTCGACCAACCGAGCAACATATTCACCGCTTAGATCAAGAACCCAACGCGGATGGAAACCATCCCGCCCCAAACCGCACCTTCTGGCATACCTCTTACATGCCCTTCGAAGCTGGTCTACCGAGATGGGCGGCAACTCGGGCTCCTCGGGCGGGATCGTCCAAGACGACGGGTGATGGGCCCCTCGGCCCGCTGCAATCCAGAGCGGCGCCCAGACCTGCAGAAGAAAATGAGAGCCTCTTGCCCACAAGCAGGGTGGCCTGATTCATTCAGCAAGGGCGTGGGGCTCGAGATAGTTCGCCTTGAAAACGCACGCGCTGCTTTGCCTCCTCCTTTGACAGACCCCACCGCCCACTCCTTCCACTCCTTCAGACTTGCCTTAGCGTCCTGCTTCCTCCTCCTGCAGACCTCCTTGTCTAACTCCTCCAGCACCTCCGAGTCCCCCTGGAGCTTTCCCTCTGAGGCGTCCCTAGCGAGCTCCACGAGCATCGAGGCAGAGATAACGCCCTCGACGGGCTGCATGCTATCTATCATGCGCTCCAGCTTGGCACGCCAGCTGGGAAGAAACTCACGGCCTCGACGGCCGACTGCGCCTGCAGCAGATTGACGGCAGCGCTGAAGCAGGGCCTGGAAAGCAACCCAAGACGTGGTGGAGCTGGAGAAACGTCGCCTCTGGTCCTTATCCCAAAGAGCCCCTAGAGGAACTTTCTGCATCCTGGGCCCTCGGGCCCTCCCCGTGTAGTACTTGATGTCCGACTCTTATATCCCGTGGAGGTGGGCGAGCCTGGCTTCTGAACATGTAAACCATCTTTTGCGCATCTCCTCCAGGGGAAGCTCAATGCAGTCGGCGCCCAGACTCCAACCCCAATCGAGATCTTCTGGAGGCTCCTGATGGGGTCCATAAAGGTCGCGCGCAAACGCCTTGAGTCTCACTTGCCTGTGAATCACCGCCGTGTGAGAGGGGCCCTCGAGCTCCATGTAGACGGGGCTGTGGGGGTGCAGCGGGGCATCCACGAGGACCTGGAGGCTCTTGACCCTAGACATGAGGCACTCTGCCATCACGAAGTAGTCCAAGACACGGCCCCCCACCACTTGTAATCTCCACCTCATCATCGTACAGGGCCATGCCCTCCTTCACGGCCTGGGAGATTTCGTCCGCGGTCCGATTTTTGCCCGAGGAGGACCCAGAAAACGTCGGCGTCGTCGGCGAAGCAACTTCCCCCCGAACTGTCTGAAGCCAACCTGAGGCAATCAAATCCGACGGCAAAAAGTTGAAGTCCCCCTGTACAATCCAGGGCAGCGACTGACTTAGGAGAAACTCGCCTAGTGATTCAAGCAAGGTCAAGTTGGGTCCCGTCAACTCGAAACCCGTGGTGAAGTAGGCTGAGATGAACAACATGCCTTGCGGGAAGCCGACACTCGCCTTCCGAATCACAAATCGACTCTTGCTATCACCCAGCTCGATTGAGGCAACGTGCTCAGGAGCGATCGACGGCTGCGCCGCGACTGCAACTCCAGACGAACTTTGAGTAGGGCCTGGGCCAGTGCTGTGCGCCATCCCATGAGCAACGTGCCAACTTCGCCCCGTGCACCAGCGAGTTGCTGAGATCACCTTGTCGGGGTTCTTCAGCCTACGCTGAGCACATGGGGGACCACATCCAGACCACCGTTCTGAGTGCCGCGGTCCATGAGCCACTCCACGACCGTCTCCGCGGTGCTCCACGCATTCGAGTTCATGCCGAGGATGGTGAGCGACTTGGCGTCTCCCTTGGGCTCCTGCTTCGGCTCTGGGGGCCCGTCGATTGAGACTACTCCCTCGTAGCTGCCGTGCGCAACCTGAAAACAATCAACATGCACTCCCTTGGCAGTCACGTCCTGAAGCTCGCAGCGGCGCTCCTGCAACTTCACGCCGGACACGTCGGCAGCCTCGATGTCCGATGCGAGACGGCTTTCCGTCGAACCCCGAGCCGCACCAGGAATTCGTTCGTCGACAAGAAGATTACGACCAGGAGGCTCGAACGTCCTCCTGTCGGGTCCTGACACTTGTTTTTCTGAAGCGAAGTCGAGCTTAACTTGGGGGCGAGAGATCGCGGCTTCCGAACCGCAGCCGACCTCGCCAGCCACCCCCGAAGGTCGGTGCCCTCTGGCTCCTTCGCAGACCTGGCCGAGGGGCGCTGCGCAGTGCGTGCCGACGGCCGAAGCCGAAGGTCGGTGCCCGCTGGCGCCCCAGTTGCCAGCTGACGGAGCTGAGCAGTGCGTACTTTCGGGGGCCAATGAACCCGATGGAGCCGCAGACGCTCTTCGTGATGCAGGGATGTCGTCTGTGTCGCCCCTGCCCCCAACCCTGAAGTGGGCCAGTTGGGGAATACCTTCAGCTCCTTCATGCGGCGACCTCTGCGGCCCCCCTGGGGCCGTGAGTGCGCCACTCGACGCAGATGGTCCAGCACTCGTCAAGGAACTCGAAGCCGATGTGGGCCAAGGGGTGTGGCGATGAGGGGCTGAATCCCTCTCCCCTTGGCCCGAAGGAGGCCTGCCGCCGCCTCTTCGCTCGGGGGCTGGCATGCCTCCGCTCGGAGACATCCGAGGCGGAGCCTGCGCCGCGGGCGCGGCGAAGGCACAGGACCACTCCACGTCGATCGCGTTGTAGTCCCAGAACGTCTGGAGGTCCGCTGGGGCTGCACCCGCCTCCCGCCGCGCGGCAGGGTGCCGGGCAGGCCTCTTGGGCAGGGGCGCCGCCCCGAGCGGCGGCCAGTCCTCCAGCGATAACTCGTCACCTGCTGCATCAAAGCCGCCGCTGCTTCTTCGCCGAGTGCTCCGCAATGAACTTGGCGACGGCATCCTTCTCAGCTCCGCTGTCATATAGTCGCTTGAGGCCTGCATGGAACTCCGCGTCGTCGAAGTCGTCTTGTTCCATCTTGGAGAAGCCAGCTGCCCCAGCTGCTCCAGCTGCTGCCCCATTCTGAGCGCCCCCGCCTGCGGCGCCCGCACCGGGAGCGCCAGCGCCAGCTGTAGTAGCAGAAGCGGCGCCGGCTTGAGCAGCAGCCGCTGCCTCTTCGGCGGCTTGCTTGGCAGCCGATTCTTGAAGCCTGCGCAACACTTCGAGAGCCTGGCGCCCATCTGCCGACTCCTTGACTGATGTCGCGAGGCCTGCGAAACCGAACTCGAACGGGCCGGCGGTCTGCTCAAGGTGCGCACGGTGCGATACCTTGATGTTCCGCTCCAGCTCCGAGCGCGCCTCCGTGAGCTGGGTCTCGGCGTCGGTGATGGCCTTGTCCAGCTCGTCCCGCTGCTGCGTGAAGCTGAGCACCTTCTGCTCCAGGCGCTCCACCTTCTTCTTCGAGTTCTCCACCCTGTGGTGGGCAGCAATGGCAGATGTTGGCCTGACTTCCTGCTCCGCGATCTGCTTCTGCTGCGCCGATGTGATGACAGCATCATCAACCTTGTAGGCCTTGAGAAACTGCACCACCTGTCCGAACGTGAGGTCAGACTGGGGCTGCTGCGGCTGCGTCGCTGGACGCTGGGCCGCTCCGCCTCCGCCTCCCCCGACTTGAGCGCGTAAGGCACTGAGCTCGGCCTTGAGCGCCTTGATGGATGCCGACTCGCCTGGCGGCCCATTGGCCCACGCGCCCTTGGGCCCACGCTGGGAGGGGCTGCGGAGCTGCTGCGCGGCTGCCTTGGCATCAGCTTGGATCCGCTGAGGGGCTGGCTGCTGACATCCTCTGCACTTGAGCCTGCTGGCCCAGTTCCCGTCAGTCCCGCATTTGCACCCCCACGTGGGGTACTTCGGGCCCGGCAGCACATCGTTTGGAGAAGGGCACATGTAAGATCCTGGGCCGCAATCGCTGAAATGGCTCGCAGGCACGATGCCACTTCATAGTACGTACCTGCAACACTGCTCGAGTGCGAAATGGCTAGGAGGAGGAGGAGGAGGAGAAGGAGGAGGAGGAGGAGGAGGAGGAGGAGGAGGAGGAGGAGGAGGAGGAGGAGAGGAGGGGAGGGGGGGGGAGGGGGAGAGGGAGGAGGAGGAGGAGGGAGGAGGAGAGGAGGAGGAGGAGGAGGAGGAGGAGGAGGAGGAGAGGAGGAGGAGGAGGACGAATAAGAAGAATGTATTAAGGAATAATAAGAAAAATAATACTAATAATAAGAAGAAGAATAAGAAGAATACGAATAAGAATAATAATAGGAGAAGAGAATAATAATAATAAGAAGAATAATACGAATAAAAGACGAGGGGAGGAGAGAGGAGGAGGGGAGGGGGAGGAGGAGGAGGAGGAGATGAAGAGGAGGAGGAGGAGGAGGAGGAGGAGGAGGAGGAGGAGGAGGAGGAGGGGGAGGAGGACGAGTGAGGAGGAGGAGGAGGAGGAGGAGGAGGAGGAGGAGGAGGAGGGGAAGGAGAGGAGGAGAGCGGGAGGAGGAGGAGGAGGAGGAGGAGGAGGGGGAGGAGGGAAGAGGATGAGGAGGAGGAGGAGGGGGAGGCGGAAGGGGGGGAGGGGAGGGGAAGGGGAGGGAGGGGGGGAGGGGGGGGAGGGGGAGGGGGAGGAGGAGGATAGGAGGAGGAGGAGGAGGAGGAGGAGGGAAGGAGGAGGAGGAGGAGGAGAGGAGGAGGAGGAGGATGAGGAGGAGGAGGAGGAGGAGGAGGAGGAGGAGAGAGCAGGAGGCGCGGAGGGAGGAGAGGAGGAGGAGAGAGGAGGAGGAGGAGAGGAGGAGGAGGAGGAGGAGGAAGGAGGAGGAGGAGGAGGAGGGGGAGGAGGAGGAGGAGGAAGAAAGAGAGGATGAGGATGAGGAGGAGGGGGAGGGGGAAGGGGTGGGAGGGGGAAGGGGAGGGGGAGGGGAGGGGAGGAGGAGGAGGAGGGAGGATGGAGGAGGAGGAGGAGGAGGAGGGAGGAGGAGGAGAGGAGGAGGAGGAGGAGGAGGAGGAGGAGGAGGAGGAGGAGGAGGAGGAGGAGGAGGAGGAGGGGTCCGTAGCCATTTTGGCTCAAGTCCGTAGCGTTTCGCTCAGGGACTGAGGCCTTTTTGGCGTGGGGGAGGCGCGCCCCCGCCTGTGATCCTGCGGCCAGTTTCTGGCTTCAGATTTTGTGAGCTCTTGCTGGAGCAAGTTTCTACAATTACTTTCTCTGTGCGTAGACCACCCCCCGCGCTCCGATGGTTTCTTCTCGTCGCGGCCAGCCTAGTATGCGTGACGATAAGGGCGATGCTCGGCAGTGGACGTGGGTGGGGCCAGTCAAGAAGCAGGACGAGGACAGCAGTGGTTCCTCGAAGTCTCCGTGTCCCCACTGTGGCTGCAAGAAGAACCTTCCCCGCTTCTGGTTCTGCAAGCACTGCCTCCAGCCCCTGTCCTACGTGCAGCCTACCGCCCAGGCGCCAGCCCAGGGCGTGTGGGCGGAGCTTCCGCCACTGGGCTCCCTGCCAGCACACGGCGAGTCGGCCAAGGGACCGAAAGGAGGTGGCAAGGGCAAGGGCAAGAAGGGGGAGCCCAAGGGGGGCAAGGGCTACCTGCTCACCTTCCCTGGCCCGAAGCAGGTGGGTCCGCAGGCCTATTTCGGCCCACCGCCGCCCCTGCAACAGGTGCTCCCAGCGGGGCTCCAGCTTCAGGCATCAGGTTGGATCCCGCCTAGCGCCATGGCTAGCGCGAATGCTGACAAGGACTCGAAGTACAAGGTTGAGGATATACCCAAGCTGCAGGGCCTGCTCCGCACTTTCGAGAGCCTGGGCGACGGCCAGAATGTCAAGTACTACCAGGGCCTCATCGACAGGCTGCAGCGTGCTGCTGAGCCCAAGCAACCGTCGGTGGGAGCGGCCCAGCACGCGATGCGGGAGGCCAAGCAGCAGCTGGACAAGCGCGTCAAGACAGCGGACTCATTGCGCGACCAGTACGTGCAGGCCCAGAAGCAGGCGGTGTTGGCCCTTCAGGACTATGAGCTGTGCCAGGCCAAGTACCACGAAGCGGTCACCTTGCTCGCGGCAGGAGTCCCACAAGTTCGTCCAGAACCACAGGGGCAGGTCCGCCATGGGCTGCATCTGTCTAAGCTCTTGGACGGCGAGGGGTTCGAGGTGCTTGAGGATGACGGTTTGTTCGGTCTCGAGGCCGAGGGGATCGAGATATCAGCGTCGGAGCGTGAGGAGGTCGAGAAGCGTAAGGCCGAGGTGGGGCAGGTCATCAAGAAAGCAGTCGCCGACGCCTTCGGAGCGGTCCGCACGAGGGCGCAGGAGCTGGTGGAGGAGCAGCGGGCTTTCCGCCAGAGAATGGCTGCCAAGCGCCGTCGCACTAGCGAGGAGGCTGAGGGCGATGGGGCGGCGGAGGGCCCCGCTCCGCCCCAGGCCGCTGCCCCAGCTGCGGCCCCCCAGCCCGGCGAGGCCTCCTCAGCTGCGGCAGGCCTGCCGCCGCGGCCACCGCAGCCACCTTCCCAGGAGGCGCTGGCTTCAGCTTCGGCATCGGCGGCTTCGGGGGCTTTCGCGGCGCCCGTGGACGTGGAGCAGTTCGACTTGGAGCGGCAGTTTGCCAAGGCGTCTAGTGTCGCGGCTGGGGTGGCCAGTGTTGGTGATCCTGGGCCAGGCCTTTGACGTGTGGGCCCCAGCATCTACGATTGCCACCTGGGCTTCGTGGATGGCTACTCGCTCTTGGTCGCTAGACTCACCTGCCATGAGGCCTCTGGGACCCCCCTCAGACGAAACCCTTGGTAGGCCAGTGTCATCGTGGTGCTGGGACCGCCAAGTGGGACCCTGGGGTTGGGAATCGGAGCGAGGATGGCAGGAAGAGAGCGCCACATGTTCGGGGCACGGCTTGCCTCCCGAAGCGATTGCCACGTGTTCTCCCACACTAGGTTGGGGGCAGCCCGAAATTGCCCCATGCTGGCCAAGCAGTCCGTGGACGATCTCAGCTTCCTCGGCTATGCATTGGGAGTGCCAGTACCCTCCTCCCCGCGTTTTGTTCCATGCAGTGAGGAAAAACGGCTCGTCAGGTTCAGGAAGCGAAGCATCCCGTCATTGTGTGCAGTCGCCGTCGGCGGGAGCGGCGCGTATCTCGTGCAGTCTTCCTGGTGTTCAACCCCGTCATCGTGTTCAGTCGCCGTCGGCGGGGGCGGCGCAACCTTCGACTATGGCCACGACCAGAGCTACGTCTACTCGCTCGACTGGGGGTACGAGCTCGGTGTTAGGACGCAAATCCTGGGACCCGTTGGGGCTCCCAGGTTCACAGTCGCCACCTACCTATGCCTCAGCCAGGGCACCCTCTCCACAGGAGGCGAGGGAAACAGCGCGTGCAGGGGGCGTGGTGGGGTTTTGCAGGACGCAGCAGGCCTCAGACGCGCAGCATCGACCGCTGAGTCTCCGTCCTGGTGATGGGGGCAACCTCGGCTCTGCTGACGCCAGTCAAGGTCTGTCTGCTGATTGTAGTGCTGGGATTTCGAGGAAAGGAGGCCGCCGTTGCATGACTATTGAAACCTGTAACGCATCCTCTTGGAAATCTCTGAAGACTTATTAGCAGTCTGAGTCCTTCGGCCAGGTTGTCGTTTTCCAGGATTTCGCTTTTGGAGATGATCATCGGGAGGGTACCCACCAGCTACGTCAGTTGGGTTGGAATGCTCTAGTGCGCCCAAGCAGAACCACAGACAAGGGTGGGCTCAGTGGTGGGACGGGGATTGCGGTCAGGAGTCACATCGGGATGGGGTCCTTACCGCTGGTCCGCCCCTTTCCTCAGCCACACCGAATATGCGGAGTTTGGTTGGACATGATTGTGCCAGGAGGCATCGCGGTGTTTTCGCTCTATCTCGATTGCGATGATCCCTTGGGCCTCAACAGTTTCCAGATCCTCAACAGGCTTGGCGAGGAGCTCCATGGTTGGCAGCTACCCTTCGTGATAGGGGGGGATTTCAATACATCGCCGAAGCTGCTTGCGGACACGGGTTGGGCTGACAAGATTTGGGGTGCAATCTTCCACACTTCCGAGCCGACATGTCGAAAATCGTCGACTTCCTGGACCACCATCGACTTTTTCGTCATCTCGAAGTCGCTCGGGCCGTTGTTCGACGCTGTTTCGGTTAACAAACGTGGTACTACTGCCCCGCATTGGCCCGTCACGCTGGACCTCTCAGGTGCCCCCAGAGAGCTCAAGACCAGGGTCCTTGTAGGTCCTAAGGTGTTCCCTCGAGAAGCCCCGCTCGGTCCGCGGCCTCCACCTCCAGATTGGTCTGCATGTTTAGCTCAGCTCGAGGCGCGCGGCGACCAGGCAGCTCTGGACAGAGGCTACGCTAGGTTTTGCAAGCCTTTCGAGGATGAGATGATAGGCATCCACGGTATTGGCAAGAGCGATGCGCACAAGTATCGCGGTCGGGCCAAAGGAATGAAGACTAAAATCCATCCAGCTGTACCAGTCTCGGGCGGTGCTTACCCTGTTTCTTCGGCCAAAGGGAGAGCTTGGAGGAAGTGGTCCATCCACATTCAGGAGCTTAGCTATCTCGTCAGGAAAGGAGTGCCTATGGACCGACCAGTTGCCAGACCACTTTTTCTCCAAGTGCTACAAGGGCCTGCAGCGCTCCGTGCCGACCCTTTTTGGCAAGAGTGCGCGGTCTCTGAGACCGACCTGTGTTGCCTCGACTTCTGTGGCCTCGTGCAGTTGTGCGCCGAGGCCAAGCGTAATGCAGAGCGGCTTGACGAGCAGTTTCAATCGGATCGGGGCAAGGCCTGGAGAGCTTGGGTCCAGACAAGTCTGGACAATGGGGCTGGATTGGCCCACAAGTTCACCAAGGTCCCCTTGGGATGGGTT